GACGAACAAACTGGGGGACATGTAACCAAGGTGGCTGGACAGCATCCCCAGGTGCAGGGGCTTCTGTTCTGTCATCTTATTATTGAAGGAAAGCGCAACCCAATGGTTCACTAAAGGGAGGTGACATGGCTCTCGGGTGCTGTGCCCTGACTGGTGGTTCGGGAAGTCTGGGGTCGTAGCACCTAAGCCACCGCGCCCAGCCCAGACGCCACTGGTTTTAGGGTGAGTCCCCGGGAAAGTCGCTCCACCCCCAGCTCCTGGGAGGTGTTCGGTGCCAGGCCTCCTGGAAGAGCACTGAGTGAGCTCAGGGTCTTGGGGGCCCCTCTTCTGCTGAGCGGGTCTCTCTGTCCCCCTCCTGTGAACCCAGGTTCCTGTGACCTCTAAGAGGACTCGAGGTGACAGTGGGCCCTAGTGACGGACAGGCCAGCTCAGTCCTCGGTCCTGGTGCCCACAGCTAAGCCTGGAGCCCAAAGCCAAACGCGGGATGCCAGGGGCAGGGCCAACGGGTAAATGTCAGGACATTTTACAAAAGGGCCACTTCCGCCTGGGCCTCAACCAGGAACCGAACCCACAACCTTTGGCGTATGGGATGACACTCCAACCAACGGAGCCACCTGGCCGGGGCTTTGATATAATTTTTATCTCCTCTCGAAGTTGTAGTTGGCTCCTGATCTTTTATCATTGTTATATCAGACCTGAGGTTCCTATCTTTTATCGTCCGTTATTTATCTAGTTCTTTCTCCACTCAATGTAATAGTCTGGTGGGGGGCGGTGGGGGGGCATACTGAGGGAAACACTCAACCAGCTGCCTCTGAGCCGGCCACCCGAGAGCAGGGCGGCGGGCAGCTGGGGGGGCGCCTACCCCTCACCTTGGCTGCCCTCCTGTTTCAGCCAGGACTGGACGGGGTTGAAGGCGATCGCCTCCATCTCGCACAGGAGGGTCTCCGGACCCGAGGAGACGGCCGTGTTGGACAAGGGGAAGAGGCATTCACCCAGGTCCCCCACGCGAATGGGCTCGGCCGGGTCTGGCTCACCCTGCAGGAAAGGGGAGGCAGACGGGTTAGGACGGTGGAGGAGGAGCAGGGACCACGCCCACCACACTGCCTCATGCCTCTGACCCACATGCTCTCTACGCCTGGGATGGCCTTCTCCTCGCCCTGTCCACCTGGCCGACATTCATCATTTTCCAAAACCTAGATGGGAGGGCCCCACCTCCAGGAAGCCTCTCTGATGTCCCGGGCAGGTCACAGTTCACTCCCCTCTGGACACTGAGGTCCGTGAGGGCAGCGGAGGGTCCTCTCACTTGGATACAAAGTATCCAGGGCAACAAGGAGCAGCCGAGGCCGCTGGAAGCTGCGCTTGGGGTCCTGGCTGAACTTGTTGCTGTGTGACTCCAGGTAAATCTCTCCACCTCTCTGAGTCCCACTGCCCGCATCTGACCAACAAGAGCCGAGGGCCTGGTCCACAGCAGGCGCTGCTCAAAGGGGCCCGGGGAAGAAGCAGTGTCCTGCCTGAGCCGGCGGAGGCCAGCCTGCAAGGACAAACTCGCTGTCCAGGAGCCCACAGGGCCGCTCACCTTGCTGTCTTTGGGGCGAAGCGGGCAGGCTGTGGGGTCCTCCAGACTCAGGTCATCGCCCAGCAGGATGGACGAGGACTTGTCCGAGTTCAGGGAGAAGGCTTCTGTCTCGGCCAGCTGTACCTGCAGGGAGAGGGGGCGGCCTCGGGTCACCCATGGGGCGGGGACTGGCCGGGCTGGCCCCCCAGGACCCAGGATGGTGGTCAGAGAGGTTTGAGATCTGTTGAGCATGGATGGCATGCCCACCTGGGGAGGGGGCCCAGCCT